CCAGGTATCTGTAAGTGTACGCCAAAGAGGGGTTGATTTGCGCGGCCGCTTATGTCTGGCGTCTTGGGAGTTCTCCACAAGACGACGGGAGGCCGAAGGGAAAAGTGTGTAGTGTGCACCGCGCGCGATGTAGGTGGCAGGTCCCGTGGCGCTGTTTGGCCATACACGTACGTGTTGAGGATGTCGCTGCTTGCGTGGATGAGTGAGGCTGTGCAGGGACGACTGTGCACACCAACACTTGGCTTGCCGGGCCGTGGGGTTTGGCAGATGAAAGTTTGTGTAGCTACCATCGGCTGCAAGGCGAAGAAGAGGCCGACTATGGTCGGTCGTTTTTCTCGCAATCACAATAAACAATAACAAGATCAAGACAGATAGTTTGTCTAGCTTGGTGTTTATGTTGATACGAGTTGCTGTGTTATTGAAGGAGCAGATTTGCCGTCCGATCATCTGCGGGAGGAAGACCCTGAATTATGGCATGAATGTAGACTGGACCGTTGTACCCGCCCGCATACGTCAAAATGGGGGGATGTCTCTAGTTAATGCAACCCCCAATTTTTGACGTGGTCCTCTCCAAATAAAGTAGAACCCAAACCGAAAAGAACGAGGTTGAATAAACATTCCAATAAAGCGTGATGGGTTGTGTGGATTTGGGGCACATGTGGCAGCTACGTTAAGAATGCTTCAAGTCTTGAAAAGTCGTCTCGGGTAAAGTCAGGTCCGAACAACTTGAGAAAGACTCGGATGGATAGGATTCAACGAGAAGGATTACTCCCGTCTGGACGGATACAGAGGAGGAAAGACCCAAAACCAAAGTTTGGTGGTTTGGAGGTCCCCACCTCCGAGCTGTGAGATACGTACCAAGGATCGGTGCAAGGTCTCCCCAGGCACTGCCGTCTTCTCTGGGGCCTCTGGGCCTCTTGCGCATCACTTTTTGCCATCCAAGTCGTCGTCATGCCTGCTCCAGACTCGACGCCCGCGACACCGTACCTGGTCTGAACTGGTCTGAACAACTCGCCGCAGCAAAAGGTGCGACGAGCATACCTTCATCGGCCCAACGCAAACCGAAAACCCTCTCCGCCGCCATTCGTTTCCTCTCGTCGTTCGCGTTCATACCTTTATTCTGATCTGACATGGTTCGCTCCAACCAACAACGACGAGATTGCAAGGGTCTCTAACAACTTGCTAGAAACACTGATGTCTTCCTGCGCGCCCATCATCGTTTCTCATTGACACCGAACACCAAGAAACGACAGGACCCCTTGATCTTTTCCCCCTCTTACCAAACGAAGCATCTGCTCAGGCCCGAAGACAAACCGACGAACAGCCACACTCATTTGCGCCATCCTCCACGAGATAGACCTCCTAGAAGCGCTACCAACAGAGTATCAAGGTTATTCAAAGCCACCGGCAACGTCCGGCATTCGCAAGGCCAAAGACTACCGCCGCCGCTACGTGACCTCGACTCCGTACCGCGGTCAGTCACTCTCCTCGCACCACGCACTCGGAGAGGCGCAGACAAGCCCACTCGACCCGAACCCTTGCCAGGCGCCGCCGTCTCCCTCCTTTCACACGCCGAGACGCTGTACACTTGCGGCGTTCCAATCACCCCGCCAAAACTTTTCCAACGGTCCAACAGACCAGATACCGCACTACGCACCATTACAGCACACGCTTAAAAGGACCCCGTGGACGGTGGACCAGCGGGACGCCGGGCTGAGGTTTAAATTTAAAATAACCCCCAGTTCGTCTGGCCCGTCCGACCTTGCCTTACCCTCCCCCTCCGAGCGTCACTTCCAGGCTGCAGCTCAACTAGGCCCTGCGCATCCGTACCTATTTCTTCCAAACTCCCGCCGCTTGCCTGCAACCCACGCCCCCCGAGATATACGCGCACAGCTCTCCGCATTGCTGTCATTCCATTCACCGAACCTTAACCCTTTCCCACAGACAATCCGCCCATCGTCCATTGACTTCAGTCGTTCACGGCCACTTTGCGATATCTTGCGACGTTTATATCAACATCTCTCCTGAACATCCGACCACTCCGCGTCGACTCGGACGTTTTTCCCCTGTGTCCGTTGCAGGACCCCTAGATCCGTGCTTCCGACGCAAGTCTCCCATCTCCTCGCGACTCAGTTGCTCCTCCGCCCGCCAGTTCCGCGACCGTAAAGATGAAGGCCATGAAGGGGCTTAGTGTGAATCGGATGATGAGTACGCTCAAGAAGCGAACGACGAACAGTGAGTAGGAACCGCCATACAACCCAATACTCTTAACCATCTTCAGAGTGATCCCGAAGGAAGTGCTGATTGATATCTCTCCCCGCAAGACTTCAGTGGATCCAGCCAAGTGTCGGCATCGCCAGCAGACCCGCAGAACGAGACGCCCGAAGCTACCGCTGCTCGTAGCGTGGTATGCAAGATCCGGCCTTCCCTACGCCAACGATCACAGCTGACGTAGTGTTCAGAAACAATTCTGCGAATCTGGAGGCCCCAATGCTCAGGTATATACTTAGCCGCGACAATTTGTGCTCGCGTAGAGCTTCCTGCTAATACGATGTCCAGGGCGATGAAGTCCTCTACCTCCCTCCCATTGTCGATGCCGCTGAGTCTTCTCCGGCCGCCGCCGCCGAATGCGCGCGCATCATTCGGAAATACCTAGCCAAAGACAACCACGCCAAAGCCTCGTGGCAGTACAATGCTATCATGCTGATTCGCATCCTTACCGACAATCCTGGCCCCACGTTCACGCGGAATATGGACAAGAAGTTCGCCGATACCGTCAAGGAGTTATACCGTACTACGCACGATCCCAGTGTCAGACAGATGCTATCTGAGACATTGGACACCTTTGAGGCTACCAAGTTTGACGACCAGGGTTTGGGCGAGTTGATCTCCATGTGGAAGAAGGAAAAGGAACGAAGCTACAAGCAATATGGCGTAAGGGCTCCTACGAAAGCAGTCGATTCCGTCTTTACCAAACTAACGTATCTCGATAGAATCCCAGACAGTCCATGGCAGGTCCCGATCCTCGAACCATGAATGCGCCGCCATTCAACCCCCACTCGCAGAATTACTTTGCGAGGAATCACACCAATCGAAGCTTGCCTACCCCGGCTGAGCTTGCGAGCAGGTTAGAAGAGGCGAGAACATCTGCCAAGTTACTTTCCCAAGTTGTCGTCAACACTCCTCCCCAGGAGGTCATCAACAATGACCTGATCAAGGAGTTCGCGGACAGATGCCAAAGTGCTTCGAGAAGTATACAACTGTACATGACTGCTGAAAACCCGTCTCCCGACAATGAGACTATGGAGCACCTGATCGATACGAACGAGCAACTTCAATCAGCGCTCAATCAGCATCAGAGAGCCGTTCTGGGCGCTCGGAAGCAGCTCGGAATTGACCCGAGGTCAGATAATGCCAGCCCCGTGAGCCCACAGACGGCCGAGTCTCAGCAAGCAAGCCGGACCCAAGAATGGGCGCAGGCGCAGGCCCAGTCGTCATCTTCGAGCTCGACTCCTCCTCTGCCGACACGGCCATCCGAGGGAAGCGGAAAGGGGAAAGCATCAGAATCCTTCGCACCACCCCCGGGACCGCCCCCGAAAGCCCAACCGCAATACGGGGCCGAGGACCCATTCAGGGACCCCCAACCGGAGAACCACTACTCTTCATCGAGCAGACCCGGAGGATCCGGTGGTGCGGTGGAACTGCCGGGTGAGGAGCCTCGCCTGGCTCATGAGCCATTCCACCCAGGCTTCAACCCCACTCCAAGCTACCTTGGAAGACAAGACAGCGCTCTTGGCAAAATCACGATGCATGGAGCCGACGAAGCCACTACGCCCGGGCCCCTCAGCGGCAACCCGATTCAGACTGTAGACCTCAGGAACCGGCAAGAGACACTGCATGAGGATTCGGACGATGATCTTTACGAGTCAACCCCGAAGAGTTCCAAGAAGAAGGAGCCGGTATACAGGTACTAAATCGGCTGGCGCGAAAGCACGATTCTGTAAGGGGATGATGTATTCTGGCCTGTTTTGTTGATCAGCAAAAGGGACGATTTCCCTGCGCATATTGCTTTACAGTCTCGAAAGGGAGAAATTGGGTATCTTGTGGTGGTTCTCATCTCACGCAAGGCAGATGAAATTTGCGCTCTTGATGAGCGAAAGAAAGTTGTCGATTATAGGCATTAGCAAAGCACGGCGTCTGGCTTACGAGTTTACCTCTATGAAATCAGACCTTTTTATCCTCAGGGAAGTGACAATGCTCGTTTGCCGTCGCTATCAACTGAAGGAAGTGACGAGGCAAGGGTACAGAAGGAACTGCTTCTACTGCTGTAGAGAGGGGAAGTGGGATCAGAAAGAAACGTTTCGCTACGTACTAAGTAGTAGGTAGTCTTCAACGTCGTCCCATACATGGGGTCGACACCTCGCCCGTTTTCTCTCGTTTCCTCTCTTCCAGAATGTCACATCTCTTTTTTGCTCACAATTCAGACAGCATTGGCACACCACCTACATTTCCCTACACTATATATGGCCTACCTGCCTTGATGTAACGCTGACTGCTATACTGCAGTCGAGCGGCGTTGCCTTACTTAACGAAGGACTGCCCTCAACTTTCACTGGGCGCTGAAGCTTTCTTTCGTGGCGAAGCAGTCGTGAGGCAACTAGACGTGCCGCAAAACTCCGAGGTATACTCCAATCATCGATGACAATTTTCAAGTCTGCATCCTATATCAGCCCGCAGAAATACGTCAGGGAAGTTTTGTGAAGCAGGCTGCGAGGCGTTCTGGGGAGGCAGCCAAGCTTACAAGAGGTATCCAATCTCTGTCGTGATGACAGGCTATCCTCTACCACTGATCCAAGAGGCATTGTGTTTTTGTCTACTCGGGTGCGCATTCCGCTCTCAGCCCCCTATTTTTCTACTCAATCAGCCGAGCCTACCTGCCACTATTCGAATGCAGATTCAGAAGGCACGGTTACCCCCGAATACATCTCCAAACGGACAACATGCAAGACGATACGGGCCATAATATGTCGGCTATCAGGCCCGAGGACCTCGAAAAGGTCCAAGGGCTTTGGAAGTTCCAAGTACATCGCGTCAAGGCACAGACGTGGGCTTATCGGGATATCAAGTTTCTGCTGTATGATGACACCGTCAACGCGGAGGAGGGCGACTCGAAGACGGGCCAGAGCAATAAGAACACCGCGATTCTCGAGAGGTCTCCTGAGCTCACGCCGACGAGTTCCTATCATGCTTCATCCGTCGTACCACAAACCCTTGCAGATGACGACGAGGATGCCATGTTCAAGCAAGCAATCATCGCGTCTCTGAAGCAACCGGACTCGGAAGCCGGGCCAGCAGCTGTGGCATCTGAGCATCCTCCAGAAGACGACAACATGGACGATCTAGATCTTCAAGAAGCCATTCGCCTGTCCTTGATGAGTGACGATGAATCCAGCGACGAAATAATTGCGGCGAAGCCTCTGGACACGATTGCTGGACTATCTGCAGCATGCAAAGAGGCCCCCGAAGACGACAACATGGATGATCCAGAGCTTCAAGAGGCCATCCGTCTGTCATTGATGAGTGACGACGAGTCTGACAACGCACCGATTGCAGCAGAATCCGGGCCCTCTGTCGCCAAGGCAGACGACGATGAAGACGTCTTCGAATGCAGAATATGCTCGAAGCTACCCACGTTCCCCCACGACAGAAAGACGCGGAACTTCCGCCTTTTCAAACCAGCGGACGATTTTCCGCATGTCGTCACAGAACGGCCAAGCAGCGTCGACGTATGTGTCTACTATGTCGTAGTATCGTACTGCTGGCCTGAGGAAATCAAAGACGAGGATGGAAACACAGTTCCTCCTATCACCGAGTCAAAGGTCCGAGATCTCAACGGCAAGCCACGCCCTGCTCGCGCACTCGACGATGTTCTCGACCGTGCTGTCGACTTTGCTAATTCCGTCGGCCTTCGCATGATTTGGATCGACCAGGAATGCCTCCCGCAACCGAAAGAAGATGGCTCAGAGGAAGACAAGGCATATCAGCGGCTCGGGGTACAGGCTCTAGACATTGTCTACAATAGGGCTATCGTTACAGCTGGCCTCCACGAATCGACGATCAGCAAGACTGAGATGAGCGCGGTTCAGTTCTTGATAGATCACGAAACCGAAGAGCTGCGTTATTTGAGCCTCCGTCCACAGTTGTTCCAATGTGCTTTGGATTTTTTGCACATGGTCCAATCGGACAAATGGTACACGCGAGCGTGGGTTATTCAAGAAGCAGTCCGTGCCGGCGACGGCTTGGTTCTTGTGTTCAGACGGGGTCCCGATGTTGTCTACACATCCAAGCTCCGCGCCGATCAGAAGAAATATTCGATTCCGCGACATCCTCTGGACTCGGAGAGGCGAGCTCTGCAGTCGAAGATCATCTGCATTCCTGTAGACCTCTTTAGGGTCCTTGTCGAAACCTACAAGTCTCTGCTGGAACAACGTTTCCAGGTTATGGGGCAGGTTCTGATTCGAACGAGCACCGGCAGGAATGCCATCCCGATTCTCTCCGTCGCTGAGTATCTTCATCCAAAGATCACAGTGCGCCAGCATGTGGTTGGTATCCACGTGTACGGAGGCAAAGTCTACGGCGGCCGTCAAAAGGTGAACGCTGCCACGGCCCTGACGCTGCTGAAGAGTCGCCACTGTCGCGATGCTCAAGACCGTCTGACTATCCTGGCAAACATGTGCAGTTATGAGGTTCGCTTAGACCCTGACAGAGTAGCAAAGGAATGCGATTCGCTCCGACTTGGTATTTTGGCCATCACGCTGCTGAACGGAGACACGTCCCTCCTGGTGCCTGAGGTCTATGACTTCCCTGGCGACGAAGACGGAGAGCCAGACCCTTCTATGGACCGCCGCGTAGGGAGCCTTCTCTCACCATTTGACACGGACTCCAAAGGGATCAGTAGCTACGCAGTACAAGACGGCAAGCTCGTCAACCCGGCCGTATACAAACATAGTTTTGGGAGTAAGAGCGAAGGACTGCATCTATGTGCATATCTCTGGACAGTTGACGATACTCTCGATCTCAGCCCTCTGAAATATCAATACGCCGAGATCTGGCATAGGATGAAGTGCTTGTGCATCGTCGTGGACCGCCAAAAGGAGGAATCCGTGGATGAATTCGCTAGGCGGGTAAATTACCCAACATTTCTCAAGGAACTACGTCAGGGACCAAGCAAAATTAGAAATCTTCCACCATGGTGTCATTGCTGCCCACTCGAGCGTTTGGGAAGGCCTGGATGCGAGGGGGATTCAGGTCAAAGTATACCTTGACGCCTACCGTGTAGAAGCGGAGCCCGAGATGCAGAAGATCGTGGCGGAGATCTTCTTCGCCATCTTGCGATACCTGCACGGCCTCTGTACCACTCAGTCTCTAGGCGCCGCGAACAGCATCTGGCAATCGATTCGCACGGATGCCGTCTATGGACGCATACCAGATATGCCAGACTTGGTGGGTGAGCAGCTTTTTTCACATGAAGACGTTCTGGAGGACCCTTTCAAAACGCTTCAGCTGGATAAGGATCGAGGCGGCGGCTACTGCCAAGCCTGGATTGTAGACAGGGTCATGCAGGAGGGTGTCCTCTCCGTCGGCAGGTACAACCGCGCTCTCAATGCCCCGCTAGCAGGAGTGAACCCCAGGCCGAGCCGCGGTTCAGGGGAAGGACCAAGTCGGCAGAATGATGGCAATGTTCCAGACAAGATTATCCAACGGCAAATACAGCGACAAATTCTGGCGACACTCTACAGTTCTGGCCTCGAAGGAAATTTCGATACCCTTGAGGATCACGAAACCAGGATCGTCCCGTCTAGTTTGGCTTGGTTCGGGGAAGCTCTCAAACGAGAACTCTTCACGGCAGAGGCAGAGCAAGCTCGAACTCAGCATCTCGTATCGATATTCGACGTGGATGGACCATGCCTCGTTGCTACCGTCTTCAACTCGGACTGGCAAGTACTGTCTCGTCCTGATATCAGAAGTAGGAGTATGTGCTGGGTGGTTGAACCGGTGGAGAAGACAATATCGGAGAGCTCTGGGGAGCAGAGCGCCGCTGTCGATGAAGAGCAACCCATGGCATGCAACAAAGGGAAGGAACCTGAGCGGCTAGCTTCTATATCTGGCACCGGTTAATCTGGGAATAGCCTCAAACACAGAGTCCGCCGCCCCAACACTGTACAGAGTGGTGAACAAGGTGAAGGGGACGTGGCAGATAATGGACCTGCCCATGCAGGAATACGCTTTCATCTAGTCTTAAGTCAACCTGAGACTTGCAGCCAGACGACGTAAAAAGGTGAGAAGCCCCAGCCGCGGCCACGTTTGAAAGAAGAGGAGGGAGTAACGAGCATGGATGATGCCCATAGTCAATCCAATCAGCTTCACAAAAAGTCAACAAAACATACAACACCAGGTATTCGCTGGTCGTCACCGACCCAACTACTAATCCGGCCCTCATTAGCTTATCTATGGGAGAGCGGACGGGATCCCGAGTTTTCCAATGGGTATGGTCGTATGTGCTAGATGTGGCAAGCAAGAGGATTAAGTAGTTAGATTAGCAGAAGCAGCTCCAAGCAATATAACGACCCTTTTAGCCGTTCCCAAATCCCAAAAGACCAGCGAAAAACTAAGGATATCAACAGCAGGCACTGGCTTTCGCAATCCCCATATAACCCTGCCAAACGGAGGAAGCAAACCGTCTCGGAGGGAAACCCCCAAGCCCTGTCTTCCGTTGGCTAACGGCCGGCCGGCACATATACACACACACTCGACCGGATTTATCGGCTCTCGCCCCTCGCGCCCCCGGGGGTGGGCGGTCGTGCCAACCAGACAACCAGAGCAGGTAGCGTCCCTAAAGATACGGGACACATGTAGAGGATATTGGCCTTTCCGCTTGACAAATCGTATCGCCAGCCAGCCCTCAGAAGCCGGGGGAAGAAGGGCTTGCAACCACCACGCACGCACGCACACACACACACACACACACACACACACACACACACACACACACACACCACCTTCTTCGGAACCCAAGCGGCGGTTGGTCGGCGGTGGCATCCGGCTGTCTCGGCGCGTTGCCCGGAGTAAAGGCATCGAGCGAATCGGGTAGTCTATATGCCAAATATCGCGAGATCTTGCATCTCTGTTGACAGTTACTGCTACAACCAACCACATGGGCGAGATGGGCAAGCCAGCGTAACATTTGGGATTCTGCTTGTCTCCCTTCAAGGAGACAAGGAGGGGAGAGGGAGGGGCAGGGGAGGAACCACACAAAGAATCTGCTCTGATTCCTAGGAGCTCTCTGCTGGCCCCGGGTTGGACGGCAACAACCGACGAGTGACTGGTACCCTTGTCTCGGGTATGGAACACGACAGAATAACTTTCTCGCCAACCCTTCAAAGGCACAACCTTTGGACGGAATGGTCTATCAGACTGCAACGTTGACGAGCGAACTGTCAAAATCCCCTCTTCCTGCGGCGCCCGGTCAGTCGAAGAAGAGGCCGTATCAGATGACAGTCTCGCAATTTGAAAATAAAAAAACTGAGTGATTTGAAAGCCCTGACTGTGCCACAGCAACACACTGAGCTGAGCGTCTTACTTCGCTGTCTCGGGCTCGAGCAGTTCGAGGTCGGTCTGCTGCATGAGGAATGCCTGGCACATCCAAGATTGGGCGACGCAGCCTGTTCTCAGAACGAAGCATGAAGTGGATGGCGAATATGGGGATTACGGCCGTTCGTGCCCTCACATCCCCAATACCAAGGCCACCTGCAAATGTGCTCGTTGGCTAGCGTGCGCCCAGAAAGGCGTTTCCCTCGAGCCGCAACGCACTAGCAGAACTGCAGACAGGCACAAGTGCTGGGAAGAGTGCCTCCCAATCCAATCGCAACGCTTGAAGCGCTTGAAGCCACGTCCCCCTCACCTGCAAGCCGCAAGCACTGTCTGATCTGACCAAGTATCGGCAATCGGCTCCCTTCCTGAGAACCAATGGCGGCGTTTTAGGGCAAGGCTAGGCGGGAAACGCCTGGAGACGATGGGACGTGCTGCAAACATGACCCGTCTCGGCATATGAAGCTCTTGTAAGGTCAGTGCAGGCCCCCTTTCCTTACCTAACGTCCCATAGCTTCATCGCCTCAAGGCGACCGCGTTCCCTTAGAGCGTTAGGCCATCCCAGGTCGACCTGGTCTGAACATTGGTAGTGCTACCATCTGAGGGGAAGTGCTCGGAACCCTCCGCGCCAGCCTTGTTTCAACGACGCCCTATCAAAGAGAAGCAGCGACGACGTTCACCAGAAGGCATGGCAGACGACGAGCTGGCCCGATGGAGTTCAACGCCTTTCCACCCCGCTCGGACCAGCGGCTGCCAGGAGCCAGACGCAGGATGCGGCACGCAGGACTCAGAGGAGGAGCCTACATGTTCGATCACGACGCCGCGGGTGGTCGTCCTGAATCAAGTCCATCATGGCAATCATGACCATGCCTGGTATGTGCGTCTGCGGGAAAGCGGGTTCGATGTTTCGATGGACAGACGTTTGCCTGAGGAAACTAAATATTGATAACTAGACGCGTCTGTATTAGCTTATTCAAAAGACGTGGTGAAAGCAAGGAGGAAAGACCTAGCAAAGTCTCCATAGAGGCGGTTGGTGAATGAGGGGATTGGTGAAGAAAGTCGTCAAGGGCTGGTAGGCCAGGATGCAACGTGGGAAAAACCTAGTGCGGGCTGTGCAGGGAACCGTACAAGGGTTCGACGGACCACTCGCATCTCTGGAATCTTTGGGCGGAGATCAGACGATGCGGCTGATGGAACAGAGATCGACCGCTCCTCCAGCTTAAGCTAGTGTAGTCGCCCACCGTCCACGGGCTCTAGCCTATGTGCGTCGACCAGGGATGGCGTCCTGTTTGTTCTGGAAGAACGACACGTTGAATCGCACCGAGTCTCTCGGACTGGGGAGTCTGAAAGTGGGTGACATTGACAAGCCCACTTGATATCGTTGTAGGCGGGCCGGAATTAGAGTTCGCAACTATGTTCGGGAATTAAGGCCACCAGCCATGATTTGCCGCCGAGAGAAGGGGGTTTGAATTTTTGTATTCCTGGAATGATGGACGTGGATATGTTGACTGTCAATGTCATCCGGTACCGACAGACATGAAGGTCGGGCTGTCTGTGGTTCCTTGTTGGAGGCGGGTCGCGAAGGATGGATGGATGGAAAACCAATGTTACGAGACAATATGATATGACCAGCCGCGGGCCGGAACGGCATTGCTGATCAGTGCAGGTAGGGCAGTCGCAGGCAGTCGATGGTCTCACTGTTTGAATGCAATGACAGGCGCAGGCGACGACAGATTCCAGTTTCGAATGTGATTGATTCACCGGCTCGTTGGCTAGATGGCAAGCGTAAGTGACTGATCATGTATTCCTTCCCAAGTTACCATGGAATTGCACTAGTGGTATGCAGGAAGCAATTGCTCACCTTTTGGCAGGTCTGGGTTGGTGTGTGGTTGGGCTGGTGGCGGCACTAATTCACCTAAACGACATGGGAGCCGCTGCCGCCATGCACGTCGAATGCGGCCGGTCAACGTTTTCTTGGTACCGACGTCGCGACTCGAGCCCAATGCGGTTCGCTCGTCAACGTATGCATGCATATGTACATTTATTCGCACATAAGTAGTGCGGCACGTAGCGATGCTCTGCAGTGCAGCCAGACGGCGCCTTTATCTATGCCTTCTTAGCATAAGGTATTTGACGCGGCATATTCTGACACCTGCCCTGTTGTGACGTGGATATCGATGGTTTGCTGTTGAACGGCGCATACTGCGTACACTCAAACGCCCCGTCCTGTTCGCCTCTCAATTTGCATCACGCTGTACGCGCGTAACGGACCATGTTCGAGGCTGATGTGGATTACGAAATATCCATCCGTACCCATACCGGTTTCTGGTGACATTCTTGTTGCGTATTTTGTCTAGGGAGTCGCGCCGCATCGACGCATCAAATGCGCAGCAACGGTGCAGAATCAAAGCGGTGACCCTCAAGTAGGCGAGAAACAAACCGGAACCAAATCGAACAAGAAAAAGAAAATTGCAAGCACAATATCTGAGCGTGCCGGATTCAGTGCACCACAGCAAATCCGGGGGCCCCTGTTCGACAACGGACGCGGACAGGGAGTTGGATGGAAAACCAGACGAGCAAATCGCATCCATCTGCTGACCAGCAGCCCGGATAATGGAATATTGCCGATTACAGAGTCCCCTCTGGTTTATGGGTCTCCCGGTTGGTTCGTCAGAGTTGTGTGGAGCCATGGGAGACGTTCAGTCCAAGTTCTCCAAGTTCCCAACTCTCCAACCAGTCTCCAATCCAATCCAAGCCAGTCTCATCCCAATCCCAAACGACTTTGCGGGCCGAGAGTCGCAGGGTGCACGGAGGTTGTCGAACAGGGGCTCCTAGCTTGACGGCGGGAATCTGAGCGTCACGGTTCAAAGGGTTCACATCCAGTTGTTGATGTGAAAGTCTGAAGAGGGTTGAGACCGTTGGCTTGACATGGGCATTCTAAGCCTGAAAGTCAGCTTTGTTTATTGTCGTCTTTCGCTACCGATTGGATCCTGAGATTGAAGCTTGTGGTGAGCCCCTGCAGTGTTTGCTTCGCCGCCAAGTCTGTCTCCCGCGCCCAGCTGCACGTCCGTTCCGGTGCGGTTCGCGATTGGATTATGAGCTGGTTGACAGGTGCAGCAAGTGTCTGGATGAGGTCGACTCGAGTAAGTAACGAGCTCTGCTCGCTAGCATGACATGCCATCGACTTTTCATGCCCAGAGAGCCGATACCAGTCAGTTGTTGAGGTTTCCGTACAAGGAGCCGAGAACGAGTCTAACCTTGCCGGTGGGATCCGAGTAAAACGGCGAAAGGCTGCGAAGCGCCGACAACGGCCGCTTATCTCGACAAAATGTGAACTTCTCTCAGGCCCCGGAGGAGAGTCGCATGCGCGGTTGGAAGTCTCCTGGCCTGCCTAAAAATAAGACAGGGACAGGTCGTCATCTCTGGAACCGTAACGCAGCAGCGTCTCTCGGCAACTGTCAAGCTGATCTCATCTCGCGTCATCCGAAGCCGTGACAGCCAGATAGTTGGGGGTGAAGGAGTAGAGAGAA